ATTATTTAGAAATACACGCAGTGTCACGTGTGTGAACTTCTTACCTCTGAGTAGTTTTGGCACATACAAGAAGTAACACTTCTCTTATTTTGCAGCCAAAGTGATCATCCATCAGACACTCAGCGTTCTGGAGGATATTGTAGAAAGTATCTCCGGAGAATCCACCAAGTCCCGCCAGATCTGTTATCAGTCGCTGCAAGAATCCGTGCAGGTCTCACTAGCCCTCTTCCCAGCTTTCATTCATCAGTCAGGTATAACCACAGGCCAGGTTTCATGCTGTGAGTAGCTCTCTGACTCCCTGATCACACCCAGAACAGCAGCTCAGAGTCGTGGTGGTGTTTTTGGGAAGTGTGTGGGCTTGCTGTGCCTGGGTGTGCTGTGAGGCTGTGCTGGGTGGACTGGGCTGAACCACGAGAGGAAAGGGAGATCTGTGCCAGCAGGAAGGATTGTCACACAATTCCAGAAGATGGAGATCATCTTGAGCACAAAAATAAGCTTTAAAGTACTCTGGCTGTGTTTGCCATTTACATTCTCTCCAGAAGCTCGAAGGCAAAGAGGAATAGGTCTCTTCAGATTAGGTCAAATGACGTGGGGTTTGGGGATTTTTTTTCCCCTGAGATGGAACCAGGACTGTCACTTGGGAACCTTCTTCTGGCCAGCAATTTACATTCTGTATCACATCAGAGTGCTAGTCTCACGATGAGCAAGGTGTTCCAGGAAAACTTTTGGAGTTGGGTGGGATTTTCTCAGTGAAGCAGCTGTGGAGGAGGCAAGGAAGTGCAGAGAGGATCCAAGGCAGCTGAGCTGATGCTGTGACTCCAGTGAGCTGTTGCCTTCAGGAGAGGCTGGCAGCCTCGTCAGTGGCTGTTTATTGGCTGTCAAAGGCTGCCTGATGAACGAGGAGCTGAGCAGCTCCAGCTTGCCATGGTTATTCCACCTTCCTTGGGACTGGTGAAGGGTCAGCTAGGTGCTGATCAGCTCACTGCACAACCACGTGCTCAAAGACGACTTCTGAAGCTGAGTGGCCTTTTCAGTTCCTGCCAAAAAAAGAAGCTGGATCCTGTCTCCTCCACTCCGAGCTGTGTGGATGTTTTGGATTTCCTGGTGTTTCCTGTTAACCCTGTAAAACCAGTGAGCAATGGGAGATGGGCCCAGAGCATCCCCTGAGCTCTCTCCAGGCAGGTTGTGTAGGCAGAGCACACTAAGGGCCTTGCTGGCGGTGTTGTGTTTGTTCTGAGGTGTTTGGTGCTGCCTGTACTTGTCATCCCTGGCAGGTTTTGGAAGTGGATGAACAGTTTCTTAAGGCCTGTAGTGCTGCTGTTGGTGTCAGTTCCTAAGACAACCCTACTGGTAAATTCCCAAGAGTAAATGAGGTTCCCTGAACAGGAGGAGCAAACTTAAGACATACATAAAAGACTTAAACATAAAAGACTTATTGGTGCACTCAAATGTTCCCTTAACATGCACTTTTTGCTTTCCTGTTCTTCTTTTAGATGTGACAGATGAGATGCTGAGCTTCTTCCTTACCCTTTTCCAAGGCCTGAGGGTGCAGATGGGAGTGCCTTTCACCGAGCAGATCATACAGACCTTCCTGAACATGTTCACCAGGTATTGGCCAACACTGGTCACTTCTTTCTTACTCCTCAGGATGATTTATCTTCACTTCTGCTCACACAGAGTCCTTGTCCCTAAAGAGAGTGCTGTTGTTTCCAACCCAGGACTAAATCCGAGGAGAACATTTCCAAGTCATAAGTGACCCAGCATATGCTGGGTCAATCAATTGCCCCTGTGCAATTCCAGCTCTCCCATGGACTTTCTGGCAGTGTGGGATGTTGATCTGGACTGTGACATTCCCTATTACCTCCTGCCCAAGATCTGAGGTTGTCCCATCACTCGAGCTTTTTTTGGGATATGGGGCCGGTCAATCCTCAGTCACAACCTATCCCCCTTCTGTGGCTTAATATACTTGGCCTGTATTAATTGAGCAGATTTAGAGGCATTACCTGTTTTCCAGTAAATCAGGTGAGCACACAGATCTCTGGGAAGGCTCCTAATGACTCTTTTTGTCCCAGGGAGCAGCTGGCAGAGAGCATCCTCCACGAGGGCAGCACCGGCTGCCGGGTGGTGGAGAAGTTCCTGAAGATACTGCAAGTGGTGGTGCAAGAGCCAGGCCAAGTGTTCAAGCCTTTCCTGCCCAGTGTCATCTCCCTGTGCATGGAGCAGGTGTATCCCATCATTGCAGAGGTAGGGCTGCCCTCACAGGAGAGGGAAGGGGGAATGGGAAGGGAAGGCACTGCTGAGGGGTGGCAGCAATGAAGCTTTGGCTTTTCCAAGAGCTGTAAATGTCAGTGCCTGTGGAGGAAAACTGGGTGGGAAGTCAGGGGGGACTGGAAGCCGTGTGGGTGGAGGATTTTGTTAGGACTTGTCAGGAAAGGCTAAAATTACAGAGATGGTCAAAGCAGGAGGTAAAACTCAAAACTCAGCATGATCCTATAGCTGCTGAATTTGGGGCTTCCTTTGGCTGCCAAGCGCTGCTCTGGATGTGGGTCCTCTGGCAGTGGGATCCAGGGGAGGAGTGGGATTCCAGCACAGGAGCCAACTTGGAGTTGTGTTCCCCTCTCCTGGCAGCGCTCATCTCCTGATGTGAAAGCAGAGCTGTTCGAGCTGCTTTTCCGGGTCCTGCACCACAACTGGCGGTACTTCTTCAAATCCAGCGTGCTGGCCAGTGTCCAGAGGGGGGTGGCAGAGGAGCAGATGGAGAACGAAGCCCAGTTCAGTGCCATCATGCAGGTAACTCGCTTATTCCCACCAGAACCCTTCCTGCAGTGGAGCACACAGTGCTTGTGGCAAGTGGAATCACAGAATCCTTTAGGTTGGAAAAGCCCTCTGAGATCGAGTCCAACCCTTCCCCCAGCATGGCCAAGGCCACCACTGATCCATGTCCCCAAGTGCCACATCCACATGGCTTTTTAATCCCTCCAGGGATGGGGACTCCACCTCTGCCCTGGGCAGCTGGACCAGGGTTGGACAACCCTTTTTTGCAAAGAAATTTTCCCAGTACCCGATTTAAACCTCTCCTGGCACAACCTGAGGCTGTTTCCTCTCATCCTGTCCCTTGTTCCCTGGGAGCAGAGCCCAAACCTCCTCTGGCTCCCCCCTCCTATCAGGGGAGTTGCAGAGTTAGAAGAGTTTTTCACCTGTAGTTGTGTAAGTCTTCCAAACTCGCCCTGATGTCTCATTTTGGGAGATACTTGTGTAATAATCTCAGTGTTAACTTCAGGCTGGTCGACAATACTGAAGTACTTGTTTTATTCCTTGTCTCTTGTTGGTTTGATGCAAAACTCTTATTTAATGCTCTGTAAGTGTTCTCCACACAGCCAGTGGTTTGTGTGAAGGATATTAATACTTGGTGTGCTGGTTTCCACCTGAGTTCTGAGGGCAGAACTGGCTCAGTCTTAAAGGGGACTTGGGCCATTTTTATGCATTTGACAGTAAATGGCTGGTTTGGGGGAATAAACTCTTCTTTTGTGACACCTTTAAGAGGAATTATTAAAATTCTACTGGCTGTCTCTGTACAGAGCTGATCTCATCTGCTTACATGTTTTGGAGGTGTTCAGGGTGTAAAAGATGTTTTATTTCACACTGTGCAGCCCTGCCAGGTTAGTTCAGGGTCCAGCAAATTTTGTTCCTGGGCTCTTTATTGCTTTGCTCATGCCCAATTAAGCATCCCAGGTCCCACCTCCAAATTGTTTCTGATACAGGGCAGTGACATCTGCCAGTCACCTTGGTCTTTTGACTGGGATTGAGGACCCAACCTGTGCATGTGTCCTGGTTCATTCCCCTTTGGAAGCATTCCAGAGAAACAGCCCCATCCTTCAGGAGCAGCCTGCCTGCCGAGGGAGCTGGGCTCATCCCTGTCCCTCTCAGTGCCAGCTTGGCCTGCCTGTTCCCCGTGGGCCCAGCTTAGCAGCTGCTCTGCAGGGATATGACCACGTTCCCACTGTAATTCCCAGTGATGTGGCAGCAGCACAGTTGACTTGAACAACTGCTTGTGTTGCTGTTTTGCTGCACTGAGGCTCCCAGGGGTTTGTTCTGGTGCCAGGGTGAAAATGATGTTGTTCTGCACAGCGTGTCTGATGTTTGTTGTCATATCAATCCCTTTCCTTCAACTCTGCTTTGTTCCCAGGCCTTTGGCCAGTCCTTCCTGCAGCCTGACATTCACCTGTTCAAGCAAAACCTCTTCTACTTGGAGACGCTGAACACGAAGCAGAAGCTGTACCATAAGGTGGGTCCTGCCTGACTTCTGTGCGTGGAAATAGGTGGGTGTTGTTCTGGGACTTGTTTCAAACCACTCAGGAGCTGCAGGTCAGGATTTGATGGCTTTTATGCCCCAGCCTTTGGGTGCTTGCCATGCTGTGCGTGGTTGGAGCGCTGGTACCACCTGCCTGATCCTGTGCAAGGGGCAGGGAAGGGATCCCAACTCTAGTCCAAGTAAAGCCTGGATGTGTTTCCTCCTGTGACAGTGAGAGAAAGCAGAGAACACACAGGGACAGTCTGGGAAAGTAGGAATTGGGATCATCAGTGGGATAGTGGACAAGTCCCTCCAACTATCCCATCTGTGACAGGGTATCCAGTACTCACAGGTCACTGCCAGGTGGTGTCTCCATCACTGCCAGACAGGACTATCTTCCAGCCCCTCTAATCCAACCCTGTTAGCTGCTCTCATGAGGGATTACAGAAGGAATCCAAGGAATCTGGTTAGCCTGTGAAAGCAGAGCTTTCAGTGTCCCATCTGTGGTCACAGCTGAAGGACAGCCCCTCATGTTCACAGGTGCCTGGTGGCAGAATTCCAGGCAGCTGGCCAGATTCCCTGGCTCTGGGGAATAAAACAGCTGGCTGGTGGAATGGGACTTGATGCTGGTGGCTTTACCAATACTTAAAACTTGGGTTAGAGCATAAAATCCAGACTGGTTTGAGTTGGAAGGGATCTTAAAGCTCATCTCATTCCACCCTCTGCCATGGGCAGGGACACCTTCCACCAGCCCAGGTTGCTCCAAGCCCCCTCCAGCCTGGCCTTGGACACTTCCAGGGATCCAGGGGCAGCCACAGCTTCTCTGGGCAACCTGTGCCAGGGCCTGCCCATCCTCACAGCCAACAATTCCTTCCCCATATCCCATCTAACCCTGCCCTGTGTCAGTGGGAAGCCATTCCTGTCCCTCCAGGCCCTTGTCCAAAGTCTCTCTCTAAAGGGGCTCTCTTGGAGCCCCTTTAGGCACTGGAAGGGGCTTTCAAGACCCAAAGCATAAGGTAAGTGTGGCCAAATTAATTTGCCTTATTTTAGCCATTTTTGACCTGGCTTGGCTTGGAAAATAACCTCAGTGCTGACAGGAGTTTGCAGAGCCCACGGGTGCAGTCATGCCTGGTCCGTCCGTGCAGGATTTGTCCCTGTGGCTGCCCTGGTCCCTGCTGTGGGAGCAGCGATGCCTCCTGACCACGTGCCTCTCTCCCTGTGCAGAAGATCTTCCGGACGACGATGCTGTTCCAGTTTGTGAACGTGCTGCTGCAGGTGCTGGTGCACAAGTCCCACGACCTGCTGCAGGAGGAGATCGGCATCGCCACCTACAACATGGCCTCGGTGGACTTCGACGGCTTCTACTCCGCCTTCCTGCCCGAGTTCCTGGCCAGCTGTGACGGGGTGGACTCCAACCAGAAGAACGTGCTGGGAAGGAATTTCAAAATGGACAGGGTAAGAAGGGGAACGATGATATTCCCCGGGATTCCCAGTTTTCCCCCCAAAACACGCTGGGAGCGTCTCCAGGCGGAGTTTTTCCGGGCTGTACCTTTTGTTCCAGACGTTCCCACACTCAGCAATCCCCAGCCAAGGATTTCTCACTGTAGGTAGCAGAACTGCCATGTCATCTCTCAGGCTGCTGGATGCTGGAGGAGTCAGGGAATGTGTTTCCTGGAAGAAGTTTTTGTAGGGGTAGACCAATGTTTTTCCAGAGTGGGACACTCAGATCTTTGCCAAAATCTTGCTCCAGCTGCTGGCCAGAGGGGTGACAGTAAGGACAACAGCAGAATAGCTGCAATGGCTTACAATCCTTGAAACCCCTCGTGTGTGGGAATCAAATGGGGGGTCTGTAACCTCCCTTTGGAATATCGTGGCAGACCAGCAGGTTGTGGCTTCCATCTGCTGAGGCTCGTCCATTTAGTGATTCCTCTTCTGAGGGAGATAATGGGGATTTAAGATCAAGGATGAGGGTGGGAAAGGAGACTTGGGAGAGTTATTGGCCTCTGGAAGGCAATTGCACTTCAGGAAGATAAGCACTTGGCAGGGAGTATGTGGCCCCCAGGAGCCTTGACAGAAGGGCAGCAAGGAATTACTGCTGGAAGAGCTGGGAGTGTTCAGCCTGGACAAGAGAAGGCTCCAGGAAGACCTGAGAGCCCCTGTCAGTGCCTAAAGGGGCTCCAGGAGAGCTGGAGAGGGACTGGGGACAAGGAATGGAGGGACAGGACACAGGGAATGTCTTCCCACTGCCAGAGGGCAGGGTTAGATGGGATATTGGGAAGAATTGTTGGCTGTGAGGGTGGGCAGGCCCTGGCACAGGTTGCCCAGAGAAGCTGTGGCTGCCCCTGGATCCCTGGGAGTGTCCAAGGCCAGGTTGGACGGGGCTTGGAGCACCCTGGGCTGGTGGAAGGTGTCTCTGCCCATGGCAGGGGGTGGAATGAGATGAGCTTTGAGGTCCCTTCAACCCAAACCATTCTATGATTCTGACCATACCTGCTGAGCCAGAGTGCGTGCTGAGAAGCCAGTGCTGGGAACAAAGCCTGGACCTCTGCAGTCAGCTCTGCAGGGAGCAGCTCTGGAGCCATCTCTGCTCCCTGTCCATGGGCTGCAAAAAGTGGAATTCCCCGGGCTGGGACCGCAGAGGAATGGATCAGTTCTCATGTGTGTGAACACACACCCGGGTGTTTGGCCCTCCCAGCCACCTCCTGTTCTCGATGTCACGTCGCTCTGCTGTACCAGGTGCTGTTTGATCTCTTGCAGGACCTGCCCTCGTTCACGCAGAACGTGCACAGGCTGGTGAACGACCTGCGCTACTACAGACTCTGCAACGACAGTTTGCCCCCCGGAACTGTGAAGTTATAGTTGCTGCACTGGACTCCTCTTCCACCGCTGTAGGGAGCGGATCCGTGTTTTCGGTTTGCCACCACCCCCTCTCCTCCTGGGATTTGTCAGCGCTGCAGGACACGGGGAGGGGGGTCCTGGACTCACACACCACGCTTCCTTTTAGTTCTCCCTTCCCAGCCCAAAGGCCCGCAGCTGGAGCCAGCAGGATGTGTCTTAAACGCCCACCCGTGGGGCATCCCAACCGTTGGAAAACCCCGTCCCTGGGCTTTCCTTCTGCTCTGAGGTAGCACTTTGTTGCGTCCGGAGATTTCCGTGGAGTTGTCTTGAGAGATCGTGTGCGTATCGAACGCGAGGCAGAAGCGCCAAAGACTAACTTCAGACATTCATACCTTCGTGTCATTCCACCTCCCTGCCCTGCCCAGCTTTCAGAGGAGGAGTCTCTGTTGGGACTGGTTTGGCACTTCTGTCACTCCCTTTGTTTTTAAATTGCCTTGAAAACCTCCCCGATGGTTTTTCGGGGATTAGAGACTTTTTTTGGGTTTTTTTTTAAACGTTTTCTCATCATTCCATTGTGATACTAAAACGACATGCTTAATGGGAATAAAGTGCTTACTTTGTTGTTTTAAATACTTGGGATGGTTAGTTGAAGGTGCTTTGCCATGCAGGCTGTGATCCACAGCCTTTCCCAGGATCAGTAGTAAGGAGCAGCATCCTGTCCAGTCTCCCAGCAAGTCCAGCAGCTCCTGGAAGGTGCAGATTAATGGCAGCTTCTTCCTCCTCTCTCCTTCATCACAGAATTTCAGAATGGTTTGGGTTAGAGGGGACCTTAGAAACAATCTCCTTCACACAGTGCCCGTGTTCCCTGGTGTTCTCTGTCACTCTTTGGGCTGATCCATTCATTCCCTCCAGCAGACTGTTGTCTGCATCGATCGTGGAGTGCCTGCAGGAAGAAATCTCCCCACATTCCCAGTGATCCCGGGAACTCAGAGCTGAAGGCCAGCAACTGGCCAGATCCTGGAATGGCATCTGAGCAATCCAGTGCCTAGACAGGCAGGACCTGATTCTGTGGAGCTTGTGGATCCCTGGTCGTGCACATGGGAAGGATTTCTTTTCCCTGCAGTCTCCAATCAGGTAGCAGTATTCAGATGGTCTTAATTTGTAAATTTAATAGATAAAATTGGAGAGGGACTTTTCACAAAGGCCTGGAGTGACAAGGACAAGAGGGAATGGCCTGAAGCTAAAGGAGGGCAGGGTTAGATGGGATATTGAGAAGGAATTGTTGGCTGTGAGGGTGTCAGGCCCTGGCACAGGTTGCCCAGAGAAGCTGTGGCTGCCCCTGGATCCCTGGAAGTGTCCAAGGCCAGGCTGGACGGGGCTTGGAGCACCCTGGGCTGGTGGAAGGTGTCCCTGCCCATGGCAGAGGGTGGAATGGGATGAGCTTTAAGATCCCTTCCAACCCAGACCATTCCATGAGTCTATGAAATGAGTCTTAATTTTCTGTGGTTAATGGGCAGCTGCAGCTGGGGCTGCCTGGTGGGAATGGCACCAGTTACTGGGAAGGGAGTGCACCTGGAAGAAGTGGATCACACTTGGAGATGTGGATGTGAGATAACTGCCTCTGAAAAGCTGTGAGGTCCCGAGGGTGAGCTGGAGTGTAGCACCATTTACCCCATGGTTCCTCTGGTTAGTTTTGTGGAAAACCCCTTTCCCTGTGCGTGTTTGCCCTGGGGAGATAAGGAATGCTGTTTGGATGACCTGTGCAGAGCCCAGCTGGATGTTTGGGCTCCCTACCCTGCCATGGGCAGGTGAAGCAGAGTCCAGCTTGCCCAGGATGTGCCTCACCTGGTACAGCCCCTGCAAGTGAGGACTGAGGCGTGGGTGGGTGAGGGAACAGGGTGAGATGGGTGGTGATCTGCTCCCAGCCTTCCCTGAGCTCCCTGCCCCACAGTACTTGGAGGAAGTCAGTGCCACTGTCTGAATATGAAATGGAGTCCTTGCTTTTCCTGATGCTAATTAGGTGTATGAAAAGGTGGTGCAGAGCCCAAGCCTGTCCCTCCTCCTGAGCTGCTCCTGGTCTCTCACAGCAGCTCTGCCCTGCTCCAACCTGCTGTGGGGTTCTCCACCAATTCTGCAGCTGTGGCTCCCTTTGGAGCTGGGCTGAGGGGGTTTCATCCTGGCACGGCTCCTCAGGCTGGTGCTGCTTCTGCTTGCAGATCATTGTGTTGACAGAGAGTGAAATACAAGTTTTTCTCTTGGTCAATGGCAGCAGATGGCAGAGCCCAGGCTCCAACCGACCACCCCTTGTCCTAAAACTTCTTTTCTCCTTTTCTACCCACCTGTCCCATCACCCCTGGCCCTGCAGATCCTGGAGAGGGGCCTTTCCTGACCCTCAGCCCCCTGTTTGGGTGCAAAAAGTCTCTTTTCCAGAGCCTCTTCATCAATCTATTTGCCAATGGGGAAGCCACATGGGGTGTTTTTTGCTACCAGAGGGAGCACAGCGAGTCCCCAGAGCCCCCGTGTCCCATCCCAAGCTCTGCCAGGGGCTCTGGCCCCCCACTTCCTTCAGCTTTAGGAAGTAGGCTTGAAGCAAACTGGTTTTTCCATGACTTTGTCAAGCTGCTCTCCCATGAGGTGTCTCTGGAGTTTGGGATGCATGGGAAACTCAATAAAAAGTGATTTCCCAGCATAGAGTGTGGGATGGGATTTGAAGAACTGAACAGAGGGGGCTCCCATCTGGGCAGTGCCTCTGTCCCCCGTGGTCTTAACACCCCTTTCCCAGCACCCACTACGTGTCCAGGGCAGCCCTGTGTCCCACAGAGGGGACACACTGTCCTGGGTGCTCCACACTGTGCCTCTTCCACGGGCCTGGGGGATTCCATGTGCCCCAGCTCAGGCTGGCCTGGCTAACCAGGACTCTCCTTGCCTGGACATTCGGGGGCAGGTCTGGTTCTTCGCAGGGTCTCGGTCCTCCCGGCATGGGTTTAGGCTCTGCTCCCACCGCGGCAGGGCTTGATGTTCCAGAGCGGGATGCTCTGGGTGGAGAGGATGCTCCGTGCCGGGATGCCCCGGTCCGGGATGTCCCGTGCAGGCGCGGCGGCTGCTTTAAGGGGAGGGACGGAAGCCTGACCCATCCCCGGGCTCGGCCGGGCCCCGCCGCGGCAGGTCCGACCGCCGGGCTCGCCATGGGCTCCCTGGGGCGCTGCCTGGCCCGGAGCCTCCCGCGGGGACAGCCGGGCCTGAGCCCCCCCGGACCCCGCTGCTACGGCTCCGGTGAGACACGGCCCCGTCCCTGTCCTGCCCCTGGGGATCCGCTCCCGTCCCTTGGGACCTGGTCCCTCTTCTTTTCCAGAGGACCCCATCCTCCCTTGCAGATCCCACCCTGTCCCTGAGGACTCTTTCCCCATCCTCATCCTGTCCTGGGGACCCAGTGCCTCTCCCTGTCCTGCCCTGGGGACCTGGGCCCGTCCCTGAGGACCCAGTCCCCGTTCCTGTCGTACCCTGGAGACCTGCTCCCTGTCTCGTTCTGGAGGACTCTGTCTCCATCCTCATCCTGCCCTGGGGATCCGGTTTCTGTCCTTGTCCTGCCTCAGGAGACCTGTCCCAATCCCTGCCCTGCCCTAGAGAACCTGTCCCAATCCCTGTATTCCCTTCAGCCCCTTCCCTCTCCTGCCCTTGGGGACTCACTCCCGATCCCTGCCCTGCCCCTGGGGTCCCTGTCCTGTCCCCTCCTGTCCCCAGTCTGTCCTGCCCCTCCGGGCTCCTGTCCCCCTCCTGCCCCCGAGGGCCCATCCCCTCCCGGTGCTCCCGACCCCTCCATCCTGGCCGGGTCCCAACTCAGGGGGTTCTTTCCCTCCTCTGTGGTGTGAGTCGGTGCCAGGATCTCCTACCCCATCCCCGTGTGCCAGTGCAGGGCAGAGGCCAGAGCTGGCTGCCCCCTGAAGGTCCCAAGGGGTTCGATGTCCCCGGGATGTGATGGAGGGACCCCGGAGCTGTCCTGAGGGCACGGGGCAGGATCCTGGCAAAGCAGGACGTCCAGCAATGCCCAGGGAAGGGGGTGAACTTTCGGGGTGGTTTGTCTCGCTCTGCCCCCGCCAGCACCGAGGCTACTGGGCCCTGCAGCCCAGATGGGAACCCGAATGCTGGGGCTGATGGTGAAATGCTCCGGCTTGGCGTCCTCTCTCCCTCTCCCTTCCTGTCCCCTCTGTCCCTTCAGCGGACAGGATGCGCTGTCCCTTGGGGGACTTGTGTCCCCTCCTGCAGCGCGGCTGTGGCGGGGCCCGCGGTGGAGCCAGACCCTGCTGCCCCGAAGCGCTGTGGGTGAGAGCGATGCCAGACCCTGCCATCCCCCCGTGCTCGGTTCTGCTCTCCACCAGTGGAGGTTGTGACCAGGGACCCTCCGGGCAGGGGGAAGGACCCGGGGCCGGGCAGGAGGCGGGGTGGCACCCGCGGCCCCGGGACACGGCGGTGCGGAGCCACCAGCCAAAAACAGAGACAACCCTGGGCCAGAGGGTGTTTCCTGGCCAGGGACACATCCCCAGCACTATCGGGGCTTTGTGGCACGTCCCTTGGGTCCCTGCTGGGACCCCGCCGGCCTGAGAGGCACAGCTCGGCCAGAGGACACACCCACGATGGAATGGGGGACGGCGGTGGGGACACGGATGGGGACGGGTTCCCATCGGCAGCCGCTGGGACCCAGCACAACCCGCGGTGCCGCGGGGGCGTTTTTTGGGGTCCTGCCGCCACAGCCTGTGCCGGTGCCGCGTCCCGTGGTGGTAACGCTGCCCCTCGGGCCCCGCAGCCCCCCCGGAGCTGCGGGAGAAGACGCTGGTCGTGGCCAAGCCGGACGCGGTGCAGCGGCGGCTCGTGGGGAACATCATCCAGCGCTTCGAGCGCCGCGGCTTCAAACTGGTGGCCATGAAGCTGCTCCAGGTAGCCGTTCCTGCAGGGAATGCCGCTCCGCGGGCGGCCCGGGGGTGCCGGGAGGGGGGTGCCGGTGGGGGTGTCGCCACTGTCACCCCCCGCTGCCGGCAGGTGGACCGGGGGCTCGTGGACAGGCACTACCAGGAGCTGCGGCACAAGCCCTTCTACCCCGCGCTCGTCACCTACATGACCTCGGGGCCGGTGGTGGCCATGGTGAGGGGCCCGCCCGGGGGGCTCGGGGGTCCCGGAGGGCGCGGAGGGCTCAGCTGTCCCCGTCCCGCAGGTGTGGGAGGGCTACAACGTGGTCAGGTCCACGCGGGCCATGGTTGGGGACACCGACTCCGCGGGGACCATCCGGGGGGATCTCAGCGTGCACATCAGCAGGTAGGGCAGGGCGGGACGCCGGTGGGACCCCGTGGCCGTGGCACTGTCCCCATCCCTGTCCCCCTCACAGGAACGTGGTCCACGCCAGTGACTCCGTGGAGACGGCCCAGAGGGAGATCGGCTTCTGGTTCCAGCGGGATGAGCTGGTGGACTGGGAGAGCAGAGAGCGGGATGACACCTACGGGCCCTAGGGATGGCCCCCCGCGCGTGGACACCCCCAATAAACCCCAGTGCCTCCAGCCCTGGCTCCGCTCTCGTCCCTTGGATGCCATCAGCAAGTGCTGGGGCGCTCTGGGGGGCACTGGGGTGGTACTGGGAGGCTC